ATAATTTATTTATCTCGTACATTGTTTGACAAATTGCTTTATTTTCCAGATCGTAAATTGTCAAATGGAACAATAAGAGATATTAAGAATAAGAGTTATTTCAATTGTGTAATAAAGGAGAAAATGGTAATAGTTTTCTAGTTTTATGTTATTATAATTTTTTCTCTCTCTTTCTTTCTCTTTCTCTCTAAAATCTAATTCATAATTTAAATTGTTATAAAATGTGAGCACTTAAATTGATAAGAATTGTAGGTGAAAGGAAAAGAAAAATAATTGAATTGAATTTTATGATGATAATTAAAAATACAAAAGATGGTATATATCTTTCAACAAAAATTATAAGGAATGATTCTCTAAATTTTTTATTATTCATTGATAAAAATCACATGTATGTTTATTATCATTCTGTATAATACTATAATTTATAAATGATTTATTAATCCATTTACAGTTTAATATTATAAAATTGTGAAATTTTATACTAAATAATTCCTTTTAGAAAGGAATTTTAGAAGAATTCCTTTTAGAAAAAAAAAACCTAAGAGTATATATGGCTCTCTAATAAGAATTGTAGAAAAAAATTTTTTTATAACATTTCTATTATAATTCTATTCTATTATATAATTCATATCTAATTTTATTCCATTGAAACGTATTCTCTTTTTTTGCTATAAATTATTGCACGTTTGATAAATTCATATATAAATATTTGTCTATTATTTATATGTGTCAAGAAGCCTTAAATTCTTCTTATTCTTATTTCTAATCTCTCGTCGAAGCTTCTAAAATCGTTTAATAAAATTATTTATATATTTTTAGAAACTCTTAGTTTATCTAAAAAAAAAAAGATATAAAAAATCAAATATTGACTCTACTTACATTTTTCAACTTTATTTCTCAGTAAGTTTTATTTTATTAAATTATTTATATATATTATTAGCGACATTTGTATTTCATCTAAAGTAAAGTTTATTTCTTTGTTCGAGTTATTAATGCATATTTTATAAAAATAACAAGAAGACTTAATCAGCAGAAGAATTATAATATCATCCTTTTCTTCAAGTCACATATATATGTATTTCGAAATTATTTTTTAAAAAATTTCGTTATTCGAATTTTGAATTTTCAATTCGTAGATTATTAAATTTATAGATTACATGATCTATAGATTATGTAGATTGTTAACAAGTTAAAATTATCATAGATTATACTTTGTGAAATAAGATTCGTTTTGCACAATTATTTCCACTATATTAATTTTCACTTTATAGAATATTGCATTCATGCATAATAATAAGAAGAATTTTTTTTAGAACGAATTGAAGTTGAAAGATGCAATATAATAAGCGAATAATTATTTCAAAAATTAAAATTCGCTAAGAAATATAATTTCAATTTTAATTTCTATTTAAATAATGATCACATTTGAACACTTATTTCAGATTATTAATAATTTCTTTCAATTTCCTTTCGAATTTATCATCCCTTTTCGATCGAATATCGAATCAAAATTATTTATTATTATTTAACCCTTTACTTTCAAACCGATTTTATTTATCGCATACAGCAATAACGAAAGAAACGATATTTAGCGAGAACGATATTTAAACAAAGCCCGTTTCGTGTCGTTTGTATTATACGCAATTATAGGTACGCGAAATATCTTTTAACCGATGCGTTTATTTCGCTTCTAGGCTCCCGTTTGCGTAACTGCTTTATCGATCCGTTACCGAATGTCAATAAGCGGAGTGATTTATGCACGTGTATCACACAACATTTGCAATTGGAAACGGCATCGTTTCAATCATCAATAGGATCAAAATAGAGAGAGCATTATCTGCCAATTTCATTAATGTACCCGATCAAGTAATTACTATTTGTCGTAGTCGACCTATTTTTATTTAATTTCGTATATAAAAGTATATAGTCATAGTCGAATAAATGCACAAAGAAATACCGATACCATTCTCCATTCCTCTTCCTCCTCTTCCCCCTCCCCGCTCTCGCCCCCTCTTCCTCCGTTCACGGATGAGGAGGAGTATCCTTTTGAAACGACCGGCCGTGTACAACATTGTACTTATACGCTTTTATGGTCGATAATAATTTTCCACGGAACATATCGTTACCTCGTGCATTTTCCATACTAGTTTGCCAGTTTCCCGAGATGTTCTGGAATCATAGCGAATCAATACCAACGGAATGTTCCACCCACGTAGTTCAGGCAGCGCGCGTTGGAATGCAATATCTCACTATTGCGTTATATTAAATAAGTTAGATTACATACGGTTATAACGAGCCTATTTGCGGCAAATTTAACGTTGCTTCAAATCCGTCCCCCCTTCCCTTCTTCTTCTTTAAAATCGATGTGTTTATCTCTCTTTCACGCTTCGACTTAAATTCTGCTTTCGAAAAGATTAGCAAGTATCTTCTTGCCTTGCAATCTTCACAATATAAATATACGTCTACATTTTATATTCTCAAATATATATTCGTGTCTTAAAGATCACTCACGTTCACAGAACGATTTCTAATTTTTCAAA